TGTCCGTACGTCTTCCCTCTGCCGCCTGGCCGACTCCTCCGATTCTACTCCTCTTTAATTCCGCCAACTTTCGGCCCTTCTCTCCCTCACGGCCAAATCCCGCTTCGCCCGACGGCCCGCCGACTCTTGCCGCGGACTGTACGGCCTTAACGTTAACCCTTTCGTTCGTTCACCTACACCCACACCCGCGGTGGCGCAACACCTGTTCCCCGAACGAGGAGAAGCCGAAATTGAACGTTCCTCCGCCGGTTACACACGCGGGCCCGGCCGCCTCTATCAGTTTCGGTTCTTCCTCGCGGCGTTCAGGAAGAACCGGAGGAGTGATTGAGTCCCGGCGGTGCTCGTGTGCCGCCACGCCGTGCCGATTCGCCGTGTGTGAACGCGATCTTTTTCTCCCGAGTGATCCTCTCCCCGAGTGTAAGACTCCTCGTCATCGTGCCGCGAGATCGATGGAAACGAAGCCGTTAAATTGTAAGCATCCGCGCGATCGAGAGTGGTCAAGTCGAAGGATGTAGGACGTTAGATAACGCGCGATAGAGGCCCGATGCACACGCATCACCGCAGCGCGTATGTACACGGACGTATCGCGAGTGACGTGCGTGCAAATTCGAAGAGTCGCATTTCACCGTAAAGCACGGTACTGTAACGGTACTGTAAACGTGTACTGTAAACATGCGGTAACAGTACTGATAATCGGGACAGCGGCTTAGAACGATCCGAACGACAAATTTCGCCGTGTACCGGTCGCGGAATCGGAGGTCGCCGTATCGGTCAGCGGGTCAAGTCGCACCGACACGTTTCGCAATTACAAATGTTGTCTCTCGCCCGAGTCGAAATTTTGCTTCTACATTAGCCCTGCAAATTCCGTCGGACTTGAAGAGCCAATGGAGAATCGCGAGATATGCAGGCTATCCTCCTACCTTGATGCTACAAATGATTGCTCACTGTAGTATTCTTTAGTTGAGGTTTGCACGAGTACTTATTATTTCATATTCGGCTGTTCGCGATATTCTACCTGCATTATATCTTTATTTCTAATTTCGATGAGCAACGTATTAATTGTATTACTTACTGTACTGCTGATAGAATATGGAAGACAGAATATAACCAATTATTGAATAATTAAGTAAGAATTGATGGGTAAAAGAGTACAAGAAATAACACATTTTGTTCTCATCTCTTCCTAAACTTCCCTTCTTTTTTGTGGTGGAAGTTTGATAAGATTTGGAGCTCTTAAAAGAGCTGATGAGAAGCTGCAAAGGTAAAGACAACAGTTGAATGTCCAATAATGCTGTGTACTAATAGAAATTTAAATTCGGATTCGTTAAACATGGCAATAATAAACAGAAACAATAAAAGTACAAATGTCAACAAAACGAGACACTCGCAATTCAAAAAGCATTGTTAGACGAATAAATTAATATTTGCGTATGGTATTTTAAAGCCGATATTTATAGTGATTGATTATTTACGGTCCTTCAACGAGAGTACAAATTAATTATAGATTCGTATTCATGGACCATTATTCGGCTGTATCGATCAATATATGTTTCCAGTATGAAATAAGTTAAAGGTACATAATAAGTTTAAGCACAAGAAATAGGTACATGTGTTAACGAATATTTGAAAATTAACAAGGAGATGAAAATAATTATAGTCTGTAATGAGTTAAACGATAACGAACTATGAATGCCAACCTAAATTTCGACTCAGGACATCTCTTTATTCTCGGCAAATTCGCCAACCGCTCGTTAAAATCGAAAACATTCGGCGTGAATGAATGATCTGACTCACCAAATATATGATGCGTCGTCAAATGCATGTCGCGGCGTTCTGACTTCTCGGATCCAGTACTCCGTTCCCGTGTACACTCCGTCGTGACGCTGACACTCGCGAAAAATGCGACTCGATTGAAGAAACGCGTGTTAAATTACGCGATGCCGACGAGAACCCGATTAAGTATCTCAAAGGCCGACGGGGACGATAACTGACGCACTGATGCACGTGATCCGCCTCGCGATACGTGCGCGTCTCTCGTCGGCTCGAAACGTAATGACCCGGACGCGGAAAAGTCTTGAACGCGCAAGACTACCAAAACAAAAAGGACTACGTCATCTTCCGTTATTCGCCAACCACTCTTGTCCGACATTCAAGTGTCGCGATCATAACACTCGATCATATCACTCTCAAAACATCTCGAAAGTCTTGCCTGAACCTACCCAATGTTTTTTTTTTTTCACTTTTATCTCAAGAGTTATTGTCTTATTATGATATGTTCAAACTTAAAACTTTTAACGGTGTACAGCATACTATTTGACACATGACTGTTATCGTTGTCCTTGCAACTCTTTCTCCCTCATTTCTTTTGAATGTCCAAATCCTATCGGAGAGAGACAGAGAGAGAGAGAGAGA